TTTTTTTTTTTTAACCTTAAATGTGATGTGAGGTTTATACATTTCTATTTTAAACTAATCTTCATTTAGGAAAAAAAAAGAAAGGTCTATAGTTTTTCAAGTCAATTCATAAAAACAAAAACTACCGAAACAATTATGAATAATTATGGGATTTTATGAGATGAACCCAAGGATAGCTTTAAAGTTTAGGCTTGTGGTGACACAGTTGTTGAGTGATGTGGGTGGCCGACCATGACACATAGTGAAAAGGAGTGTACTTGTCCTGTTGGTGGATTGGAGAGTAGTCACATGGGTCCATGATTAGAGTGAAAACACCTAGCTGATTCCTTGTGGATGAATGTTAGCTTAATGTACATTGTATGATTATTAAATTATTTTCAATTAAAAGACTTAAAAGGAACTTGCATCACCACAAGGCTCCTCAGACATTTTATGTTGTATAATTTGTCCCATAATGAGAAAGATGTTAGAAAAAGGATCCAAGATTAGCTATGAAAATTATTGTTGTTATTTATCAATTCTATTTATAGGACATTAGTCTGCATATTAAGAGTTAAATGTAAGAAATAAAAATCCTTTGAGCAGATGTATCCATATTTTGTAACAAAGAAATGAATGGCAGTATTGAAACAGGCAAACCACATAATTCACAACATTGTTCTTAAGACTTCTTCTTTTAAAGGAAAGTGACAAATAATTAATTAATCCTTAATTGATAGTATTGATACCTGGGTGATGCTGCTAGAGTTATAATGAGTTATAGCTGATGCTTATTCAAAGGCCATGTAGATGGAATAGGATAATTAAAATTGATTTATAACTTTTTTTCCAATTGTTTTTTTTTTTTTTTTTTTTCTAGCTACTGTCTAATATAAAGAATATTGATTGATAAAGTCAGTGTTACAATGGTGTTCACTACATCAATTTTCTGTTGGCTACATCTATTTTCTGAAGTGCAATCTTATGAGCCAATGTCCTGCCAGAAATCCGGACTGTCATTCGGATTTATCGATGGTCAAGGGTTCAAATCCTGCCTGCTCTCATCCCCCTTTGTCCTGCGGGAGGTTTGGACTAGGAAGTAAACTATCTTCAACTCTGAAGGAACATCCGAAACATGTAAAACATTTTACAAACAAACAATTCTTCTTTAAGTAAATAAATAAAATCTTCAAGAAGAAATCATTAAAAGATTAAACACACACTCTATTTCAAGCAGTAATATACTTTATAACCGACCCGCAGCATGACGGATGAACACTTCCTGAAAGACACAGTTGTCCAAATGGGGTGGGTTTGGGCAAACGACTGTGTGCACATGCCTGGAGAGAGAGGAGGGGGCAGGAGAAGGGTTGGAGAGTCAGCGAGCGTGCATGGTGTCCCGCGTGGTTGGGCATTGTAATGAATTATACAGAAAGAAGATTACTTGTTCTCTTCCCAGCCCCTTTTTTTTCTGTGCCACTCTCTCTGTTGCCGTGAAAGTGATAGGTAACTCTAGTCCTACTTGCAGAAATAAAAGAGTTATCTTTCCATGACTTTTACATCGAGGGCTAGAGAGTTGGGCATGGTTGGTCGATGTAGAGAATTATATATATATATATAGAAATTCAAATTCTATAATAGATTCATGTTAATGTGATGTAACATGGAGCTTACAATTTATAAACTGAACAGATTTTCTTTTTACCCTGAAATAACCTCCTCATCTCTTTATATATAGGTTCTCAAACTGAAATTTCAAGAATATACTCTTACTGGAAACAATTTCCCTTTCATAAATTTAATCTTCTATGCATAAACTCCAAGCTTGGAGAATAAATAAATATCTGCCTAGTGCGGTATGTACGCTGGACTGTCGTTTGTACCTCTCGATGGTCCTGGGATCATACCTTGACTGCTGCCATCCCTCTCGTCCTGCTGAAGGTTTGGACTAAGAAGTAAAATACTTTAAACTCTGAAAGAACATCTGAAACATGTAAAACAAACATTTGTACTTCCTATTTACTCTTCTTCGGGACATTGACAACTACATGATATGATAGTTAGTATAAAGATGCTTCTTTAGATTGGTCTCTTGTGTTCTATTGTAATGGTTTCTGGATGACTTTTTTCAGAATTTCATTGCAGAATATGGCGGCATCCCCCCTTTGGTCCAGTTACTCTTTTCTGACTTAGAAGATGTGCTAGTGAATGGAGTCAACTGTATACGTGTGCTGTGCATCAACAACACCTCCAACCAGAATACTGTTGCAGAGTGTGGAGCTTTAGAGCACCTGGTGGAGTTTCTTGAAATACCTTCTGGTAATTATGTCATCTAATTGTAACATTAATCAGTAACCTGTTACCATGTAAAAAGTTAAGAATTTCTCAAATTACATACCCAAGTAACATAATTACATACCAAAGTAACATCACATTATCAGAATTATTAATATTAAATTGAACTACTACTAATTACTACACCTTTTTTGGTTTAGGGTTTCTTTATTGATTCAAATTGGCTATAAAGCATTAAGTTCTTTTTTTTTTAAAAGTCTTTATCACCATATATCAGCATTGATCAATATATGTCCTGCAGGCCATATCCAATCTGTGAACTGTTGATAATAAGCTCCTAAAAGCTTCTGTACACAACCCATAATGTAGCAGCTTTGGCTCTGCTCCATTGGTCTTGACATTTTTTGTGTGTTGAAAATGTATGTTTATTTGGCCCCAGACCCAAAAAAGTTTCTTCTGATTTTTGAATGATGACCTCATTATCAACTTCCTTCAACTTGATAATTAAAACATAAAAAAAAAATTGTACTGTGAATTCTGTTACTAACAAAGTTTTTTTTAAAAGAAACCAAAGATTACTTGAATGTTCAATGAAGGTTAAGGTCTAGCAATGTAAGCCAAATGTTTTGTTTTGTTGCAGAGGATCTACAAGCTGGAGCTGCTGCTGCTTTAGCTGCTGCTTGTTCTAAAAACACAGAGAATCAAAATAGAGTCATCAGTGAGGATGCACACATGTAAGCTAATTTTTTTTTTTAACGTGTGAATAGCAAGTTTTCTTAAAGCAAAGTTTCTAGAATTGCAGGCCAAGTTTATGTGACTCTAGCTGAGGCTAATAACAAGGATGCCAGTAAAGGTCAGATACCCATTTGAAGATTGGTAAACTCTGGGACTTAAATCCAGTCCTACAATCTTAAAAAAAATAACTGACATAATACTGGGACTCAAACTTAAGACTATCAGATAGGCTGCTGAACTTTTAACCCTGTTTTCTTACTCTAAAAGTAAGCACCTATTACTAAATAGTTCTAAAATAAAAAACAAAACAAGAAGCCACTAGATCATGACATAATTATCTTCATCATGTAAGATAACTAAGTAAAATCATAAAACAAATAGTATTGAATCAGATCAAGGATAAAAGACTAATGAAACAAACAACACATTGCATAGAAAAATATTCTATTCGCAAAATAATAACCAAGAAAGAAATACTAGGTGGGTAGATGGAAACTTACAACATATTGATGTAAAAGACAAGCATGTTAGCAACTCTAATTTCAGAAGTTATTACTCAGAAATTGCAAACTCTATATCAACAATTGTATTAACTCCATGGGAATTCAGACTGCAAAGTCATTTCTGATAACAAGAAGCTAGTGATCATTTTCCCAATGATATACATTCACTGTCAAATTTATAGGAAAACCATTAGAACTGTTTTTGAGAATCACTTCCAGCCACCCTTTGCCCAGGTTCCACCAAATAGAGGTATTGTAAAAAGGCTGTCAACCTAACAGTGTTTTTGTTGCTGGTGAGCTACCAACCTTCAATTGTGTTTGATTAAATCCTTTCTTACAAAAATATTGCTTTGAATGCAGACCTCTAGTTGAACTCATCAAAAATAGCAAAAGTACCACAGTACAAGTAAAAGCAGCCAGTGCACTAGAAGCTCTGGCCAGCCTAAACCCAGCAAGTCAGAAAAAGTTTCTGGAACTTGATGCACCTAAAGCACTAATACGGCTATTAAAGGTGAACATTATTAGTAAATTTATTTGAACATTCTGAAATGTATATTTGTACCTCAACACATATGATTTTAAATTGAAATTTGTTTATTTATCAATTAAAATTAAAAAAAACTTTTTTCTAACCTCAATGAAATACTTTTAACTGCTTTTCTTAGTTTTTAAAAATTCACTTTATCGTTAATAAATTATTTCCTCTTGTATTGTAACAAAAAGTGCCAAATTACTAAGTTTGCTTTAATTGTTAGAATTATAACATCTCATTGTTGCATATTGATCAATAGAAACTTAAATCAATCAAGGATACTTGTAGATTTCAATTTCTTTTTTTTTTTATGACTCTTTTAATAACTTCATTGTTTAATAACTTCTGCTGGATATCATATGATTCACTCTCTGACGTACAGCCAACTTGAATTGTTCAAGTCTTGACCACATAACTACCATAACTTTATAAATAAAGGTTTTATTTGTTTGTTCTGTTTTCCTATTTTTTTTAAGAATGTTTTTGTTGAAGTTCGTGAACAAGGTGCTTGTGCTCTCTGGGCTCTAGCTGGCAACACAAAAACACAACAGAAAAACATTGCCGAGAGGATCACCATCACTCACATCATACAAATGTTGCTGGAGCCAACAGAGAAACTTTTATATGTTGGTTAGTTGATCTTGTTTCTATGTCTGAATTAAAGTTGAGCTTTGCTGTACCATTCAGGTCCTTCAAAAGAATGAAAAGATTTAAAAAAAAAAAAACAATCTTAAATGCAGTATCCCCTTTATGTTTTTATGGAAATATATCTCCCCCCCCCCCCCCCCCCCCCAATTGGTAAAGTTTGTATTTTTGTTTAATTGTAAGTTCTAATTAGTTTCTTCCCTAGTGTCATGGAATGGGTTGCCTAGTCTGTTTGTTTGTTTTACATGTTTCGGATGTTCCTTCAGAGTTGAAGATAGTTTACTTCCTAGTTCAAACCTCCCACAGGACGATGGGGGATGGGAGCGGGCAGGATTTGAACCCTTGACCATCAATAAATCCGAACGACAGTCAAGCGAGCTAACCGCACGACCAGGCAGCCATTCCGACCAGACAGCCATCCCGACCAGGCAGCCGTCCTGAGTCATCCAGGAAAACCAATGACTTGGCAAAGTTTAAGTCATTGATTAACATATGCGACTAGATTGACTTAGAGAAACGAGTAGGACATAATCATCTTCTTTTTTTAAGTAACATCTGTATTTTATATTATAAGATAAGTTAAGAAGATAATGTCCACATTTTTCCATACACACAAAGTGTTTCTAATAATAAAAATGAATGTAATTTTCTAAAACAGAAGTGTATTTTTTAAGAAAAATGCATACCAGCTTAACATACATAATAACCATTGAATTATGTTTTATTTAGAGCATACATAAAAGCAGATCTTACAAAGTATAAAATTTTTTTAGGTTCCCTAATATATTACTAAATTGTGATCTTGTTGAGCCATAATCTGTTGAACTTTAAAACATTTGAATCTCTAAAGGTTGTATGACAGCTATAGCTCTTGGATCAGAGAACATAGGCAATCAAAACAAACTGGCTGCTGCTGATGCCTTTTCTCAATTGGTTAGGTTGCTGCGATCACCAAAAACCTCTATCAAAGTACTTCACATGGTGATAAAAGTTTTGGGAATTTTATGCGTAGGTGAGTGATATGAGCAAGATCTGTAGATTATTTACACTATTTAAACAATCATGTTTAACTTCACCAGATATATATTCTGAAGTCTAATTGTTCAACTACTGTTTCATTCAGACCAACCCAAATGGATCTGAAACTGTGAATATCTTATTCAGTGACTAACAGGCCAAAAATGAGAAAACATCTCTGTTGCCTTTTTTATCTGAAGAGCTATACACAACTGAAATGCAATTATACCTAATTATTCATGTAGTGTTAAACTGAGATCCAAAACCAAAGACTATATGGAATGGAACTCTTCACAATATAATATATTAAACTTATAAACTCTGTAAAATAGTATCAATCTCAAGAAGATGGAAGGAATAGGCAGTGGAAAGACTTTTTTTTTAAAATCCACCCATGAGCTTTTTGCTTAAATGAAAAATTCTTATGTGAATATATAATGATACGTTGCTATAATTGTAGCATTATGACTTCTTGCTAAGAGTAACAATTAACATCTAAAGATTATTTCCCTCTAAGTTTCCTTTAAGAATTAAGAGCCAGATGATGTGAAGCTTACCCTTTTCAGTTGAAATGCTAACAAAGAGATCACAGCACAGCAACCAATGGCTGTTTTTATTCCAAACCTTAGATGTCTATTAGAGCGTGGTAGACTAGAACATCATAGCCCTCTCTGTGGTGGCTTAAGACACACTGCTATCTGGTCCCTCAACATTTCTTCTACATTGCATAGTGAATTCTCAGAGGCTTGGTTGGATTTACTAATGTGGCCCATAAAATGTGTTGGAAAGTTCTATTATCTCTAGGTCAAGATAGATTCTAAAATCAAGAACTTAAAAATCCCAGCCTTTATAAAAATTTGCATTCTAAGCATTTGCAAACCCCACCATGTCTCATAATATAGAAATAGTAATAATATTTCTTCCAACTGAAAATTTAATGTACCCAAATCATTTTACTATTGAAATTTATTTTAAACATGAATTAAAGACGAAGATAAACATCATTCATTTCAAGACTTCCTCAAATATTGATTTTTTGGTCTTCTTTTGAACCATAGAACATCCATGTTACGTTAGTATCAAAGTTTAATTGGGAGTAATGGATTATGCTTAAAGTTCTTCTGTACTGTAGTTTAGTTGTTTTTTTTTAGTTTAAATGTTTCTGATTCTGCTTATCTCTTATTTGTATTAGATGTTTATTGTGGAAAGTTAGTCAGCTATTGACCATGTTACTTCAATACTTCCTTTCTATTATTTTGTACATATTAGTGGTGGTCAAGTAAATTGAGTCTGTCAATGTACAACTCCTGCCCCTTATTGCCTTGATTGAAGCACTGTAATTTTCTTTATTTACTTCCAAGTCAAGATTTTCTCATTTTAACAAATTGATCAATCTAATGTCAACTGTTGAGAAACTGTATGCTAAATAGTGTTTTTGTTTTTTTCATCATTGAAAGGTGTAGCCTTTCAGAACAATAAAGTGACTCAAGGTAAGATAGCTGATGAAGGTGGCATCCCTTTGTTGGTCCATTTGCTGACCAAGCCACCTAATGATGAAATCCAAGTGGAGGTGGCTATTACCCTAGGTAATGTTGTCCTTAGCAACCACGAGAACCAGGAGAAACTGGCTGAGGAGGCAACCTTTAAGTTCGATACACTGTTGATAATGTTAAGATCTAAAGATGAGGTGAGTTTTGTTACAGGAATGATTTGATGGTACTTTTTTGCTTTTACCTACTTGTCAAAGTGCAAGTCATCATTAAGCAACTCAACAGCAATTAAACTTAAGTATTACACATTTTTTAAAAATCTACATGTTTATATCTCATCCAAATCATATTGATAGGCATATCCTAATCATATTGATAGACAAACATTCTCAGCTAGTCCTGTCAGCATGTCAATACTGGTCTATTTTTACTGAACACTATAGTCATTACAGTCAGTACACACACAATAAAATGCTGGTTATTCTATGACCTAGACTGTTAGATGTATAATCAGATATTTTTCTCTGAAAAACTAATTTAAAAATTATCTCCAACTGATGATATTGGTTTATAATTGAAACATAATTGTAATAACTTTACTTTGTAAAAAAGAAAACATATCAAATAAAAAGAAAAAGTTAGTTACATTTATTTACAATTCTGGTAGACTTTGTAAAATTATTTCAATGGATGGCTACCTGGTCGTGCGGTTTGAGTGCTGGACTATCGTTCAGATTTATCGATGGTCCCGGGTTCAAACCCTGCCCGCTTCTATCCCCTGTTGTCCTGCGGGAGGTTTGGACTAGGAAGTAATTATCTTCAACTCTGAAGGAACATCCAAAACATGTAAAACGTTATACAAACACAACAGGGGATTTTTAAAAAATGTAAATTAAACTCTTGTAGCAATTAAATTACTTTGTGTCAAGCTGCATATACATTGTACCATTTGAATTGTAATAAAGACTTTTTTATGTTTATACCACACTCACGTTCGTTTGAGATGGCAGGTTTTTAAGCTATCTTGACCCAACTAACATATGATTTTTTTTAACTAAGAACATAACAGAATGAAACAACACATGTTCCAAATTGGGACTACTGTAATTTACCCTTGTATGTGCCACCAGAGAATGCTGGCCAAGTCCTTCAAAGCTAAATTCTAAAACAACATGCTGAAATAAGACACTGGCCCCAAGCACCCCTACTGAAAACTATTTGGAGTGATGATGTGGAAACTACAGCGCTATTCATCTCAAATATTGGATTAGCTAATGGCTTTCTATTAACTTTTGGCTTATATCTTTCCCTGATTAAATTATTTCTTGCTGGTCATCATCTTTTCAAAGTTCTGGGTTTCAAATCCAATTGTCTCAGTGGTTCTCCCAATTAGTCAGTATATTTACCGCAGGTAAAGTAGTGATTTTTTAACATGATTGAACTCTTTCATCAAATGGTACAATGTATAGGAGGTGTAACAGCAGAGGAATAGAACACTGACATATTGAATTGATTTCAATTCAGTAACATTCATTCAGAATAAAAGCTGGTCAAATTATGCAAATTTTACTAAATGTCAACACACAGTTTTCAATAACATTTACTGCTTTTTATCCAGATTAACAGTTGGGTTAAATTCAGCATATTTTACTCTATGTCAACATTTATTTTTCTTTACCTTTGTAAGGAAATAAAAACGCCCCCCCCCCCCCCCCCCCCCCATTGCTTCAAATTAACATTCTATACTAGTTCATTGAAATTGTTTCTAATTGAAGGAAATCCGTTTAAGAGCTGGTATGGCCTTGACAATATTTGCTTTTAACAACACGCCACAACAAATGAATATGAAACATGCTGGAGGTATCAGCTATGATGTGTTTGACAAATTTATTCAGTCCAATGATGAGTTTTACCAGTGCTATGCATCTTTTCAGGTAAAGGAATATTTCTGAATGGGTTTGCAAAATGTTTTACATGTTTCAAATGTTCTTTCAGAGTTGAAGATAATATACTTCCTAGTCCAAACCTCCTGCAAGACAATGTGGGATAATATTGGGCAGAGTATGAACCTGGTACCATCAAGATGACCAAATCCAAATACCAGGCAACCATCTCTAATAGATTTACTTAGTATTAGACTATTGCTAATTTAATGCAACCAAGTTTGTGTTGAGCAGGATCTTTAAAATTAAAAGGAACTTTTACATATTTGAATCTGGAATGCAAATGCCCTTGTGACTCCAGGTTGTTGTTTTTTTTGAGGGGGGAGGGGGAGGCTTATCATTCCAATAACTTTGTCTGTGAAGTAAAACTTTTATGACAAAACTTATTACTTCAAGAAATGTTTTTGTTTAAATGTTCAAAGAAAAGATTAAAACAAGTTTATTAATTTATGATGTCCTTTTGTCACCAGATTGTGGTTCTGGCTCGCATTATAATTGACAAAGATCAAGTAAGTTTGACAGCCCAGGGCATCATGATGCTGGTGTCCAAACTCAACTCACCAGAAGAAAAGGTTGTGGTGCTCTCCTGTAGTCTGCTGGCTGCCCTGTCTCATACACGAGCTGGTCTGACAGATGCTATGATTACCTGTGGATCTCTGGACTTGCTGGTCAACAAGTTAGACTCACCAAATGACATAGTATGTAGTGGAACTATATTTTGATTTAATAATATGAAATATGTTGTCTTTCCATAAAAGATGTGATGAAATCAAGAGTGTTAAAGGCACACCTAGCTTTAATTATGCAATTTCGTATATCGTTAACATCATCAGTGCCACTTTCCACTTTGCTAACCCTTCTTTCCAGATAGGGGAAATGGTCTGTATTGAGGATGTTCTCCCTCATTGAGCTCTCTTGTTTGTTATTGTTTCTTGTAACTTCAGTTTTCTTTTTGTTGATCAGTAGGCCTAGGCCTGTCTTGTATGTTTCCTCTGTAAGTGATCAATTTGGCCTGAACATTTTGTTGGGTGTGGAGAAGAGGCAGATATCAAAATTCAAGTATTTTAAGTGTTAAGTTAGGGTACAGTGTGTCAGTGACTGTCTTTATCATGACCCAATCAATGACCAACAAAAATATTAAAGGTGAAATTATGCATCCTTGTCTTTCCCCTGTTTTTACAATAACTCATTGATGACAGTGAACATCAGTGGTACTCTGTAATGA